TTTTGCTTATCTGGGACAGAGTCACGGGGGCAGCAGTCTAAGCAGGGACTCCCAGACTTCCTTCACCCCAGACAAGTCCTCCAGCTCCTCCGAGGGGACCCCAAGGTGTTCCCAGACCAGCTGAGAAATGTGGTCCCTCCAGTGTGTCCTGGGTCTTCCCCGGGGCCTCCTCCCGGTGGGATATGCCCGGAACACGTCCCGAGGGAGGCACCCATGAGGCATCCAGAACAGATGCTCGAGCCACCTCAGCTGGCTCTTCATGACTTGGAGGAGCAGCAGCTCTACTCCGAGCTTCTCCCGTGTGACCAAGCTCCTCACCCTATCTCTAAGGGAGTTCCCAGCCACCCTGCGGAGGAAACTCATTTCGAGTGCTTGTATCCGTGATCTCGTCCTTTCGGTCATTACGCAGAGTTCATGACCATAGGTGAGGGTAGGAGCGAAGACTGACCGGTAAATCGAGAGCTTCGCCTTTCGACTCAGCTCCCTCTTCACCACAACAGTTCGATCTGTCAATCTCACGCTCCATCCTCCCCTCACTTGTGAACAAGACCCCGAGATACTTGAATTCCTCCACTTGAGACAAGGACTCTCCACCCACCATCATCAGAACCTTTAATCTTGTATTTTTTCAAAGCTGTTCTGTAATTACTAAAAATTAGAAATAACAGCTACAAAACATATATATATATATATATATATATATATATATATTTTTTTTTTTTTTTTTTAATCATGCTTTCTAAATAAATCATATTTTCAGCCTCTGCACTGGTATCTGTTATCTGGTATTGGCAGATACTTAAAGACAAAGTATCAGTATCAGAACAGAAAAAGCCGTATCGGTGCATCCCTAGTTTTATTCAAGTCTGCCCATATGAATGCACTGAAAGATGACCGCTTTGATCCTCTTCTTGTGGTGATGTTGTTTACCTGTCAGGGGGCCGTAGTCTTCTTCTCTCAAGGGTTATGTTCGTGGCTGCATTTTTATCTCACTCTCATCTGCCTGTCTGTGGTCTCAACAGCCCTTCTGTTTGTGACCCTTTACTGTCAAAACAGCACCTCAGAAGCAAAGTGAGTCTGCCACTAGTTCACTGATCTGAGCTTTCATTAGTTTTCTTTGAAAGCAGTAGCAGCCAAGGAGTTAATATATTTATTGTTGGATTATGTATTCAAATTTAACCTTCAATCTGCATATTATGGTTCACGAGCATGAATTTGTAAGAAGGAAACCAGTTCAAAACTATTCAAAATATTTAAATTGTGGGTTATTAACAAAACGTGTATACTGGTAATATGGTGACTATTTATGACTTCATTTTATCCCAAACTGACAATTTAAATTACCCATATTACGCTGTTTTCTGGTCTCCTTATAATGTTTCCTCATCAAAAACATTGCTGGAGTTGTGTTTTATTCACACATGTTTAACATATAAACCCCATATTAACACATGCCATCACAAGGTGGAAGAGTGTTTTCTATTTGAAAGCCTAAATATGCAGAAAGTGTTCCCCTGTGTTTTTAAACTGCATACACCTTCACTAGAATTATTTAGATAATTTCAGCCCTGGAGTTATTGATCTTTACAAAACTAGTAGAGACTTGAGAGTCCACAGAAGTGCATCACATCTGTTCACTTTGTATCCAAGGCTTTTAAAGGTCCTATTTTACACATAATTTACTCTTGTGAGCTTTTAGCCATGTTAGAATGTTGTCATCTCCTCAAAAACATACCAGGAGCTGATTTTGCTTTTCACACATTTGAGTAACCCTGCTTTAGTATTAGTCTGTCTACATCTCCAAAGATTAAAATGCTCTGCTCCACCTTGTGATGCTGTGAAGTAGTAGTTTTCAAGTTAACAGTATTAGCAGCCTTGACAATTCCAGGTCTGAAATTATTCAAATGATTCTAGTACAGGTGTATGGAGTTTAAAGACACGGTATTGCCACACGACATCACAAGGTAAAACAGAGTGCTTTCTGTTTGATCTCAACCTAGATGTGCAGGGTTTGTGTGTTAAACATGTGTGAATGAAACAAAACATGACTCCAAATATGTTTGTGATGAGGAAACATTATAACTCACTGTAGATCAAAAAATAGTGTAATATGGTTCCTTTAAAAGTTCCTGTTATCTCTGCAAACCCTCCACTGTGAATTCATTTGGTGATGAGGAAAAAGGATGAGCTCTCTCAGGCCTGAAATCACTGGAGCATAAAGTGACATAAAGGTGGCTCTGACATACTGCTTCTAACTCACATGAAAGAGCTCCGTCTCTGCTTCAAACATATCTGGAAAGTCTGAGGAAACTTTCACGCTTTTACCATTGGGCATATTAAGATTGGAGCATGCCACAAGTAAAAAGTGCACTGCGTAACATTTCTATTGGAGGGTCTGCCACCTGCTTGTCTCCATGGAGATGTTATTACTTTCCTGGGTAGACTTTACGTTCCATGGTATGACTTTAATCATATCCATCTAGCATTTATTCATTACAGGTGAAAATTACAAGAAAATTATAGCCTACTCATAAAAATGATTATAATTCTATGGGCCTCTTTGTGAGTTCAACCACTCAACACCACTCTGATTGGCTGAAGCAATACATCATCATAACCTAACCAATAAACGCCACTCTGATTGGCCGAAACACCACTCCAGGCATTTGTAGTGATTTTGGTAATGGCGTGTTGTTGTCCCTAAATGTGATATTGATTGGGTTTTGCATAACCTCTTGATAAAGTTTTGTACTGGAAACGTGTGAATCTAAATATGTATTGATTGGTAGAGACAAACAAAAAAGAAATAGCTTGTTTGTTTTTAAGGCTCCAGTATTTATTCCACAGTTATTTATAGAGAAGATCATGAAAATTCTGCATGTTAGTCAGGGAAAAGTTGGTGAATTTTTAAGTTTGACATTTAAAGTTTGAAGTTGAAGAACCTGTTAACTACATCCTGTTATTTTCCTGTAGCTTCGTACGGCTCAGTGGCAAATTTGAACTGCTATACACCGTTGTATGCGTTTCCAGTTACCTGCTGCTCAGACAAAAATTTACTGGAACATTATGCCACTGTCTGAAATGGCATCGCAATTATGCACAGAGCCTTGGAACAGTAGGCCTATAAAAATGGTCTAAAATGAGTTTAAATTTAACAGAGAACAGACGTCGACAACGACCTCATTTGGACTAGAATTAGCCCTCATCCAGAGATCCTGGGAACATCAATACTGGACGTTCGAAAGTCTGCACCTTCAGTGGACTGAGATTGGATGCACAAAAATTACCCTAAAAAATGTTTCAACGTTTCTTTGCACAGTGATAATTCCTTCTGTGAATAGAGGCGGCTCTCCACAGATCTGATCTATAATGTAGCCCTGTGCTGAAATCTGCTTGTCTCTCTTGTGGTAGATGTACCATGAATACTGTGGACCATTACAGACAAAACAATAACATTTCCATGGAGACAAGCAGGTTTTGGAGCCTCTAGAAATTTTCTGCAGTGCACCTTTGAGGGGAAATTGTATATATTATTTAAGTAATATGAAAAATATGTCTAAATATGTCAAGAAAAATATGCTTCACAGAAAATGGTTTATTTATTTTTAGCACAATTGTCTTTCAAAAGTTGTAGACTTGTTTTGCTGGCATCTGATTATGCTGAACAGAAACTCCCCTAGGCCTCATGTTTAACACTCTTATAATTTATCTCTCACTACCAGCTATAATTTCTCTAATTTTAACACTACATGGCAATTTGTTTTTAGAAACCTTTTATCATTTGTTTTATAAGGACTACAAATGAAAAATGTAGCAAACCCCACTGCGTGCAAAGCCAAAAGCCCTTTTTAAATGAGCGGTTCATTTTAAACTCCCACTGAGCTCTGCCCACAACTCCAAACATAATCTATGGGAGCTTGTTGTTTTGCTAAATTTGATTTTGATGTGCTCTTCTCAAATGAGCAATTAGCGTCAAGGTCCTGCAGCCGCAACACCATATTTTAATTGCATTACTTAAATTGTGTTTGCTTCCACATGAGGGAGCTGCCATGTTCTCTGTTGAATTAATTAAGATTTTAATTTATATATGAAGAATTTTGCAAAAGTTTAAAAAAAAAAAGTTTCATTTCACCCAGTCACGTATGTAACCTTTGTTCTTTTCTGACTTGAGTTTTACGTCACTCTTTGTAACTCAAAGGTCCATTGTATAACTTATCTGGCAGAGGGCCCATCAAATGTCTGCATGATGTTATTGCTTTGTCTTTATTTCACAGTTTGGTATTCAACTTTTCTATCCTAAGTTACAGATCAGGTCAGTGGAGAAGCAACCCCGCTCACCGTCAGAGTACCTGTTTTATTTTATTTTATTTTTTTTACATTTTGCGCTATTAAAGCAGTAATTGAATAAATGTAAGGTTGAGGATCCGCCATCTGCTTATCTGCATGGAAATGTTACTGCTGTGCCTAGAATGTTCCACAGTATAGATTTAACCTAAGAGACAAGCAGGTTACAGTTCAGATCTGTGGAGAGTCGCCTCTTTTCACAGAAGGAATTATTGTTTGTTTGAACAATAGAAACACTTCTAATGAATAAATGCTAGATGGATACGTTTAATGTCATACCATGGAACATTTCAGGCAAAGGCAAAGCAATTACATCGCCATGAAGACATTTTTCTGACATTCTTTTACATGACATTCTTTTATGAGTCAACTTTGATTCAGATTCCACCACCTGTGCATCCCATGCTTAAGGTAAGGTGGTTTCACTTTCTCTGTCAGACTTCCAGTAAACTGTTGAAACTAGCCCAAACCTGAAAGACGGGCGGAATGGCCGGTGTGACGTACATGCGCATTCAACAAGGAGCGAGGCAGCGCAAGAAGGACAGAGCGCATAGGGAAGTCATGCGCAAGGATTGAATTAGAAATGGGCGGGACGTACTGTAAAAATAAACAGGAACTATGATAACGTGTTCCAAAGTACACCTGTACACCTGAGAAGAGACACTCACTTCTCACATGCTCTGCTGCTGGGTACAAAATCTAATCCTAGACTTGAGAGAAACATGTGAATTCTGTGGTGTTTATTCATATCGACATTTTGGAATAAAGCGCTCAGATTGGATGTAAAAGGACTACAGCCTGTTTGGTCTTCACTGCTGAGATTATGACGTCCCGGATGGTCATCTTTCTCCTCTTTTGCTACGGTGAGTTAAGAATGCGCACTTCAAATCACACATATATAAGAAAGACAGATGACTAGATTTTAATGCAACAGGTTTAAAGTTAAATGTTTTTTTTTTTTAAATTAAATAATACTTTTAGTGATTGTGCAATACATTTTCTGCTTTCGCTCATAGTATAATCTTCTATATTTATTGCATCGTTAAATAGCTCTCATTTAATTATCATTTCATAGATTATTCTTCTTTCTGCTCCTTTTCATTCATTTCTTGTATGTTTAATGTTCTGAATGAATAAATTAAATAAATACATAAATTATTTTACAAGTTATTTGCAAATTGTTCTGATGGAAATCTCATATGCGATGACGTAATAACACAAGACAACAGAAAAAACAATAGAGAACAATGGTGCACTGCTACAATTGTGTGTCAGAGATTTAGGTCTCACGCATATTTGCACATCGTATTTGCTTTTAGAAAGTTATCTAATAAATATTGTTTCTTAAAAATACTGACTTAATTTTACCACATTTTTACTTTTATGCAGAACATTTTAAAGGTACAAAATAACCAGCAACTAAGCAAGGAAACACCCAACTTTATAAAAAAGATGTGAAAATTGAGCCTATTCAATGTCTGCTCTACATTTTGGTTTTAATTTACTGTTGAACAAAAGGAATGCCGCATTCATCTTTGGTCATGATGCATATCTGTTTCCACAGCTTGTGTTACCAGCAGCCAATGTGAGAAAGTCTCTTTCACCTCCAAAAACTTCATCAATATCCTGAGATGGGACGCTGCAGAACCAAAATTTCCAGGAGAGACGGTCCGATACAGTGTGTTGTATAGGTACATATGGCTATATTATCCTGTATCATTATTACTGCAGCCAACCAAGAACTAAACAATACATCATAGTGTCTTTCCTGCTGAACTGTGTTTTCTTTTCACACAAGACTCTAAATGATCACAACATAACACAAATGTCACTTCTTCTAATTAGTCCTGATGTGGCTCCCAGACAAATGTCAAGTTCCACCTTTATCCCATTGACTTTTCCTACTTGACGCAGCTTTCTAGAGTCTGTGAAACTCAAACTGTTGTAATGGTGTAGTTATTTTACATAAATTAGATCTGGTCTATCTTTTACTCCCAATTCACAATCACAGAATCATATTTTTATGCAGTGTTGTGTCAGAGATGATTTTCATAAAACTCTAATACCTACTACCACTAATAATGATTGGAGTATTTTGTAATGTTTTCATTACAAGATACTGCATACAATATATGCCTATGTGGCAAACAACCACTGCAGCTATGGTATAGAGACATGAACCACAAACCAGTCAGTTTATGTTCACACCACAGTTTAAGTAAAGCCTGGGAAAGTATCTTCACATTGACAGCATGCATGGCTCAAAATTGTAGAAGAAATATATATATATAGCTCATAGCTCAATATATTTTATTAGGTCACTTTACAACCTGAGCCATTGTCACCGAAAGATGTTTTGCAACTGTACACCTTTTTATGTTACCAAAATTTTCTGCAATTGTATGTTAATATGAAATTACAGACCAGCCATTATCTCTTTAAAACAAATGTTTGTTGTTGTTTTTATCTTAGCAGTGCCATTGACACTGATGAGGAGATATTCCAGATGAAAGCTGAATGTCAGAACATTACAGAGCAGTGGTGTGACTTGACCCAAGAGACCCCAGCCGTCTATGATGTCGACTACAGAGCCAAGGTTATGGTTGGCAACTCAGATTATGGCCAGACCAGAAGATTCAGACCTATAGCTGAAAGTATGTGTTTTATTATTTATCTTTAACAATCACGTATCTACTATTCTGTATTCATGTCTTTCTTTTCTTACAGCTGTTTTGGGTGCTCCAATCGTATCTCACAACATAAACAGGACTGACTTACATGTGACTGTCCAACTTCCTCTAGGACCAAACAATGAGTCTATTACAGAAATCTTCAGAAAAAATAAAGTGGGACCGTCTGAAGCATTGGCCGTTTACAATTTGATTATTACAGAACCTGTAATGGCAGCACAGGTGAGATTACAAACGGAAACCAGTGTACAATCATGATACCTTTCTGTGTTGGTAATTACTAAACAAAATTATTATTCTACAGGAGCTCGAAAGCACTTCAGGGCACTTTGTTGTCAGTTTAAAGGGTGAGCAGATGAAGTACTGTGGCTATGTGGTGTATAAGCCTGCAAAGGAATGGGGACGCCCGCTGAGTGAAAACACTTCCTTCTGTGTAACACGACCAGGTTAGAAAACACAATCCCTGAAGAAATCCAACAGTATTACTTACATGTGGTAGTTTGCCATAATAACAGACCCACCTTGAATCTAAACACTGCAACATACACAGACAGGACCCATTCTAACTCAATACTGCACTGCTACCTTTTGTCAAGAAGAGGAGTCTAAGTACAGGGAATGCACAGCTATTAGCTAGTGTACTTAAGTATACATTTATTTACAGGTATCTGTACTTTTACTTGAGTGGGTATTCTTTACTTTTACTTCACTATGTTTGAGGGCAGCGTATCTGCACTTTCTACTCTACTACATTTTTGAACAGGACTGAAGTAAAAGTATTTTTTGTTATAGTTTGAATTCTGCTGAAAAGTCTGCTCAGACTACAAATGCCTTAAAAATAAACCTTCAAACAAAAAATATACAAATAAAAACAGTTAAGCAATTCAGTTGTTTCTACTGAACAAAATACAGCACAAATCTTTATCAAAATCACTACATTTGAAGCTTTATTAGATCTGAAAACCTACACAAAATACTTTTAAAAAACTTTTTAGGTTAGCTTTAATACTTTATTAAGCAGATTTTTTTTATGTGATACTTTTACTCAAGAAGTTTTTGCTTCAATATCTATACTTTTACTTAAGTAACGAACTTGAGTACTTCTTCCACCACTGCTGGGGGAATTCCCCTTATAGAGTTAGCTGTGTAGATTTCTGTTTAGATAGTCCAACTGCAAATATCCTGGCACAACCCGGTATCTTTGTATGATCACATTGGCTCTTTTCCACTAAAGCAAACTAGGTCCCTCTCTCCTCTGCTGTACCTGCTTTACACTCACTGGGAGTCTATACCACAGTCTATACCAGCTTCCTCCTGGTTGTAAATTTGGCACTTCCCTAGGACTGTTGGTCTGACCTAAGTAAAAGTACTACTAGAGCAGAAAATACTGAAATAAAACTGAAAGTATCACATGACAAAATCAAGGTATAAGTCTTAAAGTATCCTTTGAAAATGTAAGAATAAAAAAGTATTTTGTGCAGATTTTCAGATCTAATAAAGCTTCAAATGTATTGATTTTGATAAAGATTTGTGCTGAATTTTGTTCAACAGAAACAATTGAATTATTTAGCTGTTTTTATCTGTACATTTTTGTTTGCTCAAACTACAAATGTGTAGAGTAGACAGTTCAGCAGGTCTCAAACTAAAAAAGTGGATTAGAAAGTACAAATATCTACTTAAAGTATAGATAGGTAAGTTGAGTACAGTATTTTACTACTTTAACTTTGTTAACCTCCATCACTAGAATTTAAATTTGTCAGATAGTAAATGTGCTTTTTAAATCAAATTGACCTTGACCCTGTTGAGTTAGACACATACTACTGTTACATAAATGTACGATCTGTTTTTTTCTCTTCAGCTCATTCTGAGGGACCCTGGACCATCCTGAGTGTACTGAGTGTGAATGTTCTGGCAGCTGTTGCGTTGGTGACAGTGTTTTGTGTAAAGCGCTACGTCACAGATGTGAAGAAAATCCCGCCAAAGTCACTGGTAAGATTTTATTCACCTGTTGTTTGGCCTCACAAGAAATGCAATCCATCAAAAGATTTCTGGGCCAGTTCGAGGGTGCTTTTAATGGAACAGCACACATCTTTTTGTGACTTTAAAGATGCTTTGTTTAACTTTTCTGGTGGAGGGTTTGTCAAATTCTTTTCTCAGTGGAGAGGTTCTTGCTTCGTTTGGAATGTTTCACAGTATGGTACTAAACCTTTCTATCTGTATGGAGACCAAACCAGACCACGTTACAGGTCAGATCTGTGGAGAGGCAACGCCTTCACAGTTAGAATGTCTGTTTTTTCAGGTACTTTTGAGTTATAAAACCACCTGTAAATGAATAAATGTCAGGTATAACTGTTTAATCATACTGTGGAACATTTTTGGGATATCTATAGAAACAAGCCTGTGACAGATCCCCAATAAAAAAGTTACATAGTGCACCTTTAAAATGATATGATGATATATGATGTTACTAGCATCTGTGTTGCTAATGGGTCTTTTTGCTTTACCCACAGGTCTTCAAACCACAACTGAGTGATTCACATAAAGTCATTATCAATCCAGAGGAGGATAACAACGTTTCCAAACTGGAAATTTCAACAATAAATGAAAAGACAGAGTATGCCAAGATCCAGCGGACGGCACCTGTTTCGTTTGTTGGGGATGGAGAATATGGACATTCAAATAAAATACTTAGTTGGCCAGAAAACGCTTTTGACAGAGCAGTTGGAGCTCATAGTCCAGGGCTACATTACCACTGTGACAGCGCTGGTTCCTCTGTGATTTACGGTGGTGTAGCTTTTGCAGAGAATGGAGAGTGCCACCAGCTTCAGACAGACCAAGCTCAGGAAAATACTTCGTGGATATCCAGTAAAGAGGGTCTGGTCAAAAGTGGATCTTTACTGCCATCACTACAGACAATTACATTGTCCAATGTAGAGTTTTATGAAAACAGTGAAGCTCAGCCATTATTGCTGCAGACACAGAGGAACAGTGAAGGACATCTCATGTTGTCGGTACAAGGAAAAGCCCCGTTCAGTGAAACTACAGACTCTACTGTCTGTCCACAGAGGAAACCTCTTCTATCCTACCTCACAGTCGCCTCAGACAAGGTGAGCAACTCTCTGCACAGTTTGGACAGTTCAATGTGCTCCGACTTCGGGTCTGATGAAAACACTCTGCCAACACCAACACAGGACTACAGTAATGGTCCCTACTTAACTCAACCACATTTTACCAATTTCAGTCCAGACTCACCCAGCTCTCTGTCCTGTGACAGTGGCACGTACGATACTCCCTATAAACAAAATGGGATGTCCTCTATCATCAGTGGAACTTCTAACATAAATTATGCTTGGACCTGGTCTGGTCATAAAGAGAAAAGCAAGGAAGCGGATTAAGCTTTGGACAAGGAGTCATGTGTATTGGTGTAGCAATACAACAATACAATTGTGTAATCAACTATGTTGAGAAATGTGTCATCAACTATGTTAAGAAATCGTAACTATATTTTGTAAATTTAAAAAAAATTAAGGGTTCTGATCAGTCCACAAAGAACATTCCTAAGAATTTACCTTTGTGTATAGACCCCTGTAAAATGTCACATGTTTTCTGTTTCTGTGTAAATACCAAAGAAGACAAACTGTATTTTTATTTTGACAGTTCAATACCACTGTCTTTTAGACAGACCTTCTCATTCAATGTTTTTTCATTTTGTTCACTACTTTCTACATTGTAGAAACACTTTGAAGACCTAAAATAATGAAGTAATATGTACATATAGAATTATTTAGCAAAGAAAAAAAGAAAGCTAAATCTATCTAAATATGCTTTATATTTTAGATTCCGGTTTCTCGCAGGAGCCACCCTTTGCTCATTATAAACCCTTCTGTCAGTGAGCTTTATAATAAAGTCACCTGAAGTGGTTTTCACTTCATAGATGAGCTTTGTCAGGGTTCATTAGTGGAGTGTGCAAAGCAAAGGGCGGCTTTTTTAAGAATCTAAATATTATGAGAAGAGCAAATATTTATCCAAACCTGTGCACTACAGGGATCATATATGTTAACAGTAAGGCAAGTAGGGACATGATCTGCTCTGTCGTCTTACAATACTGGATATGCATGCTGTTACCATGACAACATATTAAGCTGTGTGCTGGCCTTTGCGATAAGATAACTCATGTCCCACATAGGAAGGTAATAAAACACGTGTCCACTGTCATAAACACCATCATCCCATAACACTTTTGTAAAATATTGTATTTTGCTTGAAACAGTTTTTTTAAATTTTTTTTACGCCAATCCCAAACGCATTCCTCTTAACCTCGTAAATTTCATGAACCTGCTTTATTATTTTGTTAATTTGATATTTAGAATGAGAAATGTGTAATATATTATAACGAAGGGTTAAAGTTTAACCCGAGCAGTGATGATAACAGTTGTTTGAGAACATCGTCATATAAACCTTGTGGTATATTTGTATCAGCTGAGTGGAAATCTACTAACCTATCTAATCTATTACCAGGCATTTAAAGGGCCCATATTACATTATTTATGATCTGTTATAATGTTGTTTCCTCATCGCAAACATAACTGGAATTGTTTGGTTTCACGTGTTTAACACACAAAGACTGAGTTCTTCTCTCAAACTGAAAACACTCTCTTCTACCTTATGATATTGTGTGGTAATATGGGAAGTGCTCCACTGTGTTTTCAAATTCCATACACAAGAATCATTCACATGTGTGAATGAACCAAAATACAACCTTGAGCATGTTTTTGATGTGGTAACAACATTCTAACATGGTTTTAAGAATCCATTTTGTGTAATATAATACATTTAATGAAAAACAGTGGTTCTCATCCCAGTTCTATTTTAAATTTGTATAGACCTGGGTCATAATTTACTTCAGAGCTGGATATTTAAGTCTGGTTTTAGACATGAGCATTCTGTCTTTGAATTTGATGTGCAATGTTTACAAACCACTTGATTGTATAAATTGTCTGTCCTGTTTTGTGGCTTTCCCTACAAATGTTAAAGGTGCACTGCGTGACTTTTTGATTGAGGGTCTGTCACCTGTGTGTTTCCATGGATATGTCCTTGCTTTTCCGGGAAAGTTCCACAGTATGACATCAAACAGCTCCACCTTACACTTATTCACTTAAAGGTGTTTTTACTGCTCAAAAATACCTAGAAAAACAGGAATTCTGCCTGTGAGCGGGGTTGCCTCTCCAAAGATCTGACCTGTAACTTGGTCTGGTTTGGCCTCTGTGAAGAAAAAAATGATTTAATACCACCAGTGAAACATTCCAGACAAAGCAATAACACTTTCATGGAGAAAAGTATTTGACAGACCCTCCATCAGAAAAGTATCACAATGCACCTTTAAAGTGAATTCCCCAAAAAAACATCTGAAGTGTATAAAACTTTTTTCTTATGTTTAGTATATCTTGTTTTTGTGTTTATGAATACAAACTTCACTATGTATGGTAAGCATATGTATTTGAAATAAACCTGTGAAAAATACTTAGACTTCTACCATATCAAATGTCAAACACTGATATTATCTATTTGTATTGCTACTACTATTATTGTAGTAGCCCTGAATTCCACATATACTCATTTATGTGGACGTGGATGGGCAGTTGCATGGGGATTTTCCACCTATGGAAAATTACAAGGAAGTGAGGCTGATCTGAAAGGGACAGCGTTGGTCTGACGCTTCAGTGATCCATGACTCTAGGACACTGTAAAAGTATTCAGTTTGCCCTGGGTGTAACTTTGGTGTCATTGTTTGTTTTGTTCTCCAATGTCTATATGACACCAAAATGAGACCTCGATAGTGTACAGTATGACCTCTTTTCTCTAATTCTTGTGAGATGAATCACAAGAACAAAAAAAAAAGAAGAAAGTTGTTTTATTCACACATTTTAAAAACATAAACTCTGCATATCTAGGCTGAGTTCTTCTCTCAAACTGAAAATGACATGTTATAATACTGGAAGAGCTCCACTGTTTTTAAACTCCATACACCTTCACTAGAATCATCAGTTTCTATTGAACTAAAAGTAAAAGGTAGCTGGTAGCTGTTCACTTGAAAACTCCTGCTTCATGACATCACACGTAGACAGACAATAATAAAGGATTACTCAGACATGTGTGAATGAAACAAAACACATTTCGTATGTTGAGTTTTGTTGAGTGTGTTTTTGATGAATCACAAAAACAAAGACACGAAAAGATGATGTACTATTTGTATGCTAACTGTCTGTGAGATATTAAGATGAAAATCTGCAACTTGAGACATGTTGGTACACAAACAATTAATCTGAATAATTGTGACTTTGACTAATGAAATATCATATTTTGTTTATTGTTATCTGGGCTACAAACATATGCCAAAATATTTTTTTTATAACAGCGACAGCAACAAAACAAATTTCTTTCTTTCTTCTTCTTTTTTTTTTTTTTTTTTTTGTTTTGTTTAAATAACACATTGCACTTGTAAATATTCTCAATCAAAATGAGGATGGGATGAGATACGGTTTCCACGAGACGAGACATGTCACAAAATTTGGTTCAGTTCACAATTTTGACTTCATAATTTTTTTATTTATTTAATTTTATAATTTTGCTATCATTGAACATAAAGTACATTTTGACTTTTTGTAACAACTACTGAAAGTTAAATACATCAAATATAAGAAATATTTGGCCAAAGCAGGTTTAAGTTTAAAAAGAAAGTGGAAATAGAAACAAATTTTTATCAAATCCAAACATGAACTTTATACCTGCTTTGTATATCAGTAACTAAGAATAAAACTATAAAAACTGTATTGCGTTCAGGCAGTATCAATGACAAGTAAAGTATCATGTCCAAGTAAAAAAATGCATCAGCTCAGAGCCTATACTATGGACAAAATGCTACAAGGAAAACCTCTCCAGGACAGCTATCCGTTCTCTGACGGAAGACTATGTCCAGTGTCTCCTCCGGCTCTTCTTCTCCACTCAACAGATGTAAAAAACACTGTTTCCATCTATTGTATTGTTGACAGATTCTTTTCATCCTGTCAGGGAGATCTATCTCCTATGTTTCAACTCTCCAACCCCCAAAAGGAGATGGGAAGATACTTGACCTAACCCATTCTCTGGAGTAAAGCAGGTAAGACAGAAACTGAAAACATGAGCTCAGATGAGGCCAGCGTGTCTGTTCAGATTTCAGTCACGCTGTAGCACGTAGCAGCCTGAGGGTCAATGGATAAAACATACTGGCCGCAGAGAAACTTTCCATATTTAAAGTACACATCATAATTATCCACAGTGAAAAAAATAATGCTGGCAAATTCAGTAATATCCTTCAACATGCATACATTTTATTTTATTTTAATTGTAACAACATTTTGTAATGCTCAAAAAGAGTAGAAAGAAGCAAAAGGTTAGTGGAGCCTGCCCCCCTTCACATGTAGTATTTGACAGAAAACAGCTGATTATTACATACAAAGTCATTATATCAGTTGAGAAAGCAGTACATCTATCTATTTTATGTTATCTGAATTTAGTTTTTACTCTTTGCAGATTTTCAGAAGCTGTCATGTGGACCTTTGAACAAAACACGAACAGGAAGTTGTGAGATTCAGCCCACATACTGATGAGCGATATATATCAGCTCTAATATCTGTGTCAGTGATGCCAGATATGTCAGGTATGGAGAAAATATGTACACTGAAGAACAATTAATATACCAGGGTTACTCAAACATGTGTGAATGAAACATAACACAACCCAAGGTCTGATTCTGAGGAGGTAAAAATATTATAAATACTTACTAGTTAAAGCTCACAAGCTTCAGTATTGTGTAAAATAGGGACCTTTAACATAAAATTTGACCTTTTCATCACGTTTTAGAGTGATTTTGAATGATTTTGTTAAAATTAAAGTGTCTGAAAAGTTTTCCTCCACTGAAGTACTGAAATATGTTTTAGTATATAGAGTTTCGTTTTTACTGTTTGCAGATTTGCAGTGTTGTGATTCAACCCGCAATACATTTGGTCAAATATCTGTATCAGTGATATCAGATATGTCAGATATGGAGTAAAATTTTAACTATAAGAGCAATAAGGTGAAATAAAGATGGCTACATGTTTACACAGGGCCCCTCAATTTTCCAATCTGGAGTTTGGTGCACTTGTTTCTTTTATGAAGCCATTTATTTTAGATCCAAAATAATAGTGTAATGGTCCACACGTGCATAGATTATAAGTATATAGTAGAAAAAAGCACATGCCTTATAAGTTTTTGGAGAACTTTACTATAACCTGATATAAATATTTAATGTTTGCATTGACATTGATCGTTTATCTGTATCAACTCAAAAAATCCACATCAGACCAGCCCAGACACATAAACCCACACCTGTATGTCAGTGGACTTTGGTGTTTTGATATGCCCGGAATAATCTCAACAAGCATATCTTCATTGATATCTCCTGGAACAAATCTTCTGATGAATTGAAGCCCGCGTGTAATTGGATGCAATCAGCTGGCCCCCTCCTCTTCCTGTCGTGCATCCTAATGAGTTCTTAATGGGCTCTTGATTAGAAAAAGACAAGAAAACAGCTGTCATGCCCGACCAGGAAATGATGTATGGTCCTGGAGACTCTGGTGTCCATTAAGCTCTATTTTAGGAAGCGTCAGTTGGATGAAAAGAAAGTTTATTAAAATTTGGTTTTGAGCAAGTCCCATCCCCACAGGAACAAAAGAACTTAAGTCTTTACAGAAGCTGATGAGTGAACTGTGTCAAACAGATTATTTTCAAAGCCGTCTCTGATCTTATAACGCTATGCCCTTGTGATGTGTCCCATTATCACATTTAAGATTCAAAGATGTTTTTATCTGACTGAAAATCTCTCCTTTGAACTGCCTGTTTGTATAGAGTTTTTGGAAATTGCTTTTAATCTTAACTGGAAATTTAAATAATCGTTTATATTTAAAGGGCCCATATTGCGCTATTTTGTGATCTGTGTTATGTTTCTTCATCACAAACATAGCAGGAGCTGTGTTTTAATTTGTTCACACATGTTTAACACAAACCCTGCATATTTAGTTCTTCTCTCAAACAGAAAACACTGTTCCACCTTGTGATGACATGTGCTAATACAGAAAGTTCTCTATTGGGTTTTTAAATGCCATACACCTTCATTAGAATCAGCTGGATGTTTTCAGCCCTGGAATTTTCAATCTCTACTCAACTAAAGGTAAAAGTTAGTCATTATCTTAAAAACTATTATTTCTTGTTTCTCACAAGGTCAAAAAGAGCATTTTGAGCAGCAGAGATTTAGACAGCGTAATAATAATAAAGGATTACTCAAACGTGAATGAAATAAAACACAACTCCATGTTTTTGAGAACGTAAAAGCATTCTTTGCATTCCAATTAGTCATTCCTTCCCTGTACTTGGGGGTAAGCTATTTCTGTGTATAGCCACAACTGCCCTGCTGATGAGAGATAACCCACATTCATACTCAATTAAGACAAGGGTGTTGATAGCTTGCCCAAGGACACAACAACAATGTGCTCAAGTTGGGGCCAGGATCTAATCACCAGCCTTTTGGTTTAAGTTTTATTTTTCTTTACTAGTGTTGTTGTGATATTAACATTTCTAAATAAATTCAATACTACATACTCAAAACAAGTTTCAGTACCTCAGTGGGGGGAAAAATCGTTTTTGACACGTAATAATTTTCAACACAAAATTGTTTTGACCAGAAAGATAAAATTATGTGTTAATTTAAAAGTCCCCTATTACATAAAATTTACTCATGTAAAATTTAAGCCATGTTACCTCATTTGAAACATACCTGGAGTTGTTGCTCCAAAGCCCAAAATGCTATTTTCCACCTTGTGATGTCATGCAGTGGTAGTTTTCAATAGCTACTTCTTACATAGCAAAAGAAAAAAGTCTACTCTGTCAAACTGGACAAAAGTTTTTTGAGTGAAGGCACTGAGGCATTACACAGACAGAATTTTACCTTTAGTTCAGTCGAGATTGGCAATTACAGGACTGAAATGATCTAAATGATTCTAGTGAAGGATTCTAGAGCTCTTCTTCTTCTTCTTGCCACATGACATCACAAGTTGTTTTCATTTTGAGAGTAAAATTTATCTTAAATAATCAGGGTTTGTGTGTTGAACATGTGATTGACACAAAATATTTGTGCTTAGGAAACAACATAATAACATAGGTCAGAAAATAGCTTAATATGGGTCCTTTAAGCGTTTTTTTGTTTTGTTTTTTTAGTATTCACACTGCAGTGGTGTATAGTATCGACAGGACATTTGCATCAATTAATCTTGGTATTTGACAGCCTTATTCTTTACTCTCACCTTGACCTACATTTCAATTACACGGTTTTCCCCAGCCATACATTAAAGCTCTGATACTCCCATGGGTACACATAAATAATATAATAAAGCAACAATGAGGGAAGAATTAGCACTTGCCACATGCACTCACT